AAAAATGGTTACAAACTGAAAACCAAGATGGATACGTGCATTGCATTCAAATTGCTTGCCAGATAGCGAGGAGGGAGTGTCTAGTAGTGCATCGTATATGCTTGTCAAACCACTTGTGAAATCCTGCAATACATCAAGGACAACACCACTGAAACCAGAATCGGTTAAAATACTTGGCATAGTCTCACCAAATGATGCAACAGCAATCTCATCAAATTTGATGGTATGGTCTTCCTTGTTTACTGAGCGGGCAAACTTTTCAAGGCTTGAAAAATACCGCTTGCTGGATTCTAAAATTCCTAAATAACAATAATGACTTTGTCAAATGAATGTTGCAATATATGTATAATGATATTACAGATTGCAAGCTGCAGCTATTTTTATTTTTTGGCATTAATTTAATTTTTCTACAAGTTTACTTAAATACAATATATGGTGTCATAAGGTCATGTCTGTGTATACTATCCCACATATCAACAAAATACAGAAGATAACCTCAGAAATGCTCATACTGATTTACTGATCTCTGGGATATAGTATACATGTACATCACCCCATGTTTACATAAGGATATTTTGAGATGGGAACCCATTTTTTATCAAAAATAATAAAACTATAACACCATTTTTTAATGTGAACTATTGAATAACTTTATGTACCTTCTGCACATTGACCTATTCTGGTTGCAATTGACTCAGCGGACCTCATGGCAAGATGAACACCACCAACATAATAGTTCTCCATGTTTGTTCCTGTGATGTTGATTTTACCAGAATTCCCTAAATTCTGCTTAGCAAATTCGCGGCGGTTTTGATTGTTGTCAAACTTGTTCCCCAGCCAGGTTTTGTACTTAGATGAAAGGTTTATAGTGTCCTCCACTGTCCACTCAGGTCCATTGCTTATAACAGACATGTCACCTAGTTGTGTGATATGTTCAGGGGCATCACAAATGGGATATGTTGATCGTGCTGAACTGTTGCCGGTGTCTATCCTTCTTTGTTTCCCATCAGCAGTACTCCTTACAATAACATTAACTTCCCCCCTTCCACCACCCAGGTTGATTTTATCTAATTTAGTTATTTGCTCATAGACATCTCTAAAGCAATTAGATAGAGTGCTGTAGTCATCTGCTCCTAAGTAGGCTGCACAAGTAATAACAAGACTTTGAAGGTTGTAAGGCTCCACAACTTTTAAGCGCAATGTTGTTATCCCAGTAGAAAAGCGTGACCATTTCAGCCATGGTGCAAGATCAGTAAAATGGTAAACTACAATGTTGTTATTTGGTGTCGGTACAGTGTTTTTCATTCCTGGTCTTGTAAGCAAATACTCTAGGTATTGCTTGACATTGATACTAGCAACAACTATTTCATTGTTTTGTTCATGAAATTGTAAGTTAACCTGTTGGCTAAGTTCTTGTTTCTTGCTATTTAGGCATTGAACAATGGTGTCTTTAGGCGGAAAAATGTTAATACCCAAGACCTTGGCTAATTCTTTACCCCATTTATTCCTCAATATATCTTGTGTGTCCCTTTGACTGACACACAGCGAGCCAACCACCCCACATGCAAAGTTCAGAAATTTATCAGCATGTTTTTTGTATGCTGCTGGCATAAGTGTTTCTCGGAAAAGTACTCTCTCATTTTCCCCTTCTATCAGAGACTGACAGATAATGTGCTTATGCTCTTGAATAAATTCATTGATGTTAATTTCATCATTGCCTTTTGCTTTAGTTTCTGATGTTAGTCCTGAGTTTACATTACTGTAAATAGCAGGTGTTAACTCAGGGAATTTAAGCACTAAAGCATCTCTCAACTTGAGAAACTCAGCCAAGACTTTTTGCACGTGTAGTCCTCTCACTGACTTTGCAGTTTCAACAAGATATTCCCATGGCTCAACAACTTTTGTTAGGCCTTGCAAGCAATATTTTTTAAGTTCTACATCTGTGAGCTTGTCTACAAAAGATTTCACTCTTGAAGAACGTGTTCGTGGTGATAGTGCATCATGTAGACATTGATTTATCAAATCTTCAGCAGTTTGCTTCGGTCTACCTTTCTTAACAGAAAATCCATCTGGCTGATGAGACTTTTGTTCGCGATAATGTTTTAAAAGATTACTGTAGTGAATGTATGAATGATTACAACTTTCACATTCAAATCGTTCAGCCCTACTCATCACATTTTAACCAGAAAAACGCACATTAAAATGTCAATATGAATCAAAACATCCAAACCATCGTAATGCTTAAGCCTTAAAAAAATTGAAACTTGCACCATGGCAACGTAGGGAGGGAAATTTCAACGCGTGCGTGCATTTCCATCGAAATTCCCGCCAAAATGTACTGAGCAATACAAGAATTAGAAAGCGATAAAAATGACTACAATTCCATAAAACAAGACTCAAATACAAAATGAATGCATTTAATTAAATGTCAAATCCATAATACAATAGTTAATTTACGATATCAATGACCTTTATACCTTTATCTTATTAGATTTGTGTAGATTCTTGCAAAATAATTCCAAACAATCGCTCGATTAAGTAGCCAAAATACCATGATTCTGCTTCATAAAACATAAACCATCCAAAATATTCTTTAAAATACAATGCAAACTAATTGTCCCTACAAGAAAGTTTCTTAAGTTTACGGAAAAATAAGTTATCGACGATAAATAGAATAAACATCGAACAACTTCCAAGATGGCCGTCACAATCTTTCATGTTTGCCCAACAAGTTGTGCGCGCGAGGACTCATGGGATGGATTATTTTTTCGATTACACTAGTAATGCTTTGCGCGCCCACTCAGATCACCTGGCTGTGACAAGGTATGAAACACTGGTCACGTGATGGATCGATGTGTGCCCCAGGTAGCTGGGACACTTTTTCGGAAAACGAAGATTCGACGGGTAGGCGAACTTTCACCGAAGGTAGGGCGGAAAAATATGGCGCGTGACAAGTAAGTTACGTACACAGCAGTACTACTTTTGCGTTTTTAGCACGAATCATGTTTTCCAAACGAGTACAATATATTTTACCGAACAAATTGGACTTATAATGCTTACTTACAAGAAAGAATGAATTAGAAGTCGCCCTTGATGTGCCTAAACATGAACTGGGATGTGAAGAGTGAACGAAAAGTCAAGTTTGCGAACAGGACAACAAGATGTTGGATTTAATTTACGTAACTTACTCAAATATTGCAAGGACAGCAAACTAAATAGTCATTCACAAATGTTGTGGGATGATATTTTGAATGTTTACACTCTGCCGAATCATGGTACAACTTAAGCTTAATCATTTTGATTAAGATAAACAGATTTTTAGTAAGCTTACGAATTTCATATTTTGCAGCTAGTTAGGAGGATTCATGATGAAAACATTTCATTCTTTGAAATAATTATATTTTGCACACTGTTAGTCTTTGTACTTTATTGTCATGACAATGAAGTTTTTTTTTAACACTATTTTTATCTGTCCCTCCTACCTTTTATAACCTATTATGTGCTGCTTCTTTACCTGTATTTGGATTTCTGTCAAGTGTGTTTTAATGTGTACACTGTACTGACTGAGATAAAATCAATTTTTTGTTAATAAAATATAGTATTTTAAAAAGCAACATTCATTTTCTCTACTATAAATTTTGAATCTTGGGTTCAACATAGAAGAGATAGCTCGCACAATTGTTGAAATTGTAGTTACTTAGTGTCATCAGGACCCATACCATTCAATTTGAAACAAAAGGGAACAGTCGAATTTGACTCTATTGGGCGATGGTGTGTCACAAGTTAAATTCATTACAAAATAGTAGTAGACATGCTCCTCAGATAGCAGGAACTATTACTATAAGGGCTAAGAATCTAAAATACTTATCTAAAAAAGTTACAAATTTTTTAGGTGAACATGAATTGTGATAAAATTGAATAAATATACATTCCCTGCTCTTCCTCAAGTGCAAATATTGAGTGATGCTGCTAGGAAACTTTTGTCTCTGGAAATTATGTTTGAACTCATTTCAAGAGTCTTTTAAATGTAAGACTTAAAAGTAGTCAAGGAGCTACAAATTCTTTGAAGCTGTTGATAAAGACTAAGAAAAGATGGGAGAAGGGCTTATTATGGTTCTTACTACAGGCTAAGCAAACATCATATAAACTTTTTGCTGCGAAAACAAACTTGTGACAGGCACGGCCACAGCAATCAAGACTAAAGTTGCAATTTTTTCACAACAGTGACTGTCATGGCAAGTTGAGGTATATCACTATGCTCAAAATACTATACAATGTGAAAATGCCAAGTATACAGGGTATACTTTCTATCCGTGAAATAAACTTTCTCACAGATTCTGGCATAGTGCAGAAAAAAGTGAAAGAGTGACTGTATAATTACAAATTAAAAGAATATCAATATAATTTGAATTCCAAAAATTGCAATTACAGCRAGCTGGTTATCAAATAAAATGGTATCATTAGAGTGCACACCACAAAAGCATGAAACAATTCAATAACAATCAACAACTAATAAGCTTTAGTTATCAACTAACTAAGAATTCACTAGGACATGAACACAAAATTCTTCGTTACTTAAATAACTANCATTCCGAAAAGTTGCCGATTAAAAGTCGATAGATAACGCTTTCTTGAAGTTTTACAAAGCCGACTGAAAAATACTGCCGAGCCGACGAGCCACACAAAATATTAAAGCCACTCCAATTCTGTAGTCGCTCCCATCCAAAGAACAAAATTAATTCCTTTACCTTTGAATGTTCTTCAAATTACAGGAAAAAGTACAGAAGATAGGTTTTTGGAAGAAGTTTAACCCTGGACAAGGGCGATACAACCAAGCAACGAAAATCCACTACAAACCCCACGATCGCTCCACGCTTCCACGGCTTTCCAGCATGCATTTCGGYCGTCGTGAAAAGCAGCCCGGCCTTCAAAAAGAGGCGCAGGAAACCCAAGGAAACCCTAAATATCTAAAACCTAGTACCAGTCCTTCATCATGTTCAAACGGATCTTGCACATGTAGAAGCCGGGAAACTTTCTTGCATCAGATAAATTATGTCATATTGCAGGGAAGAAGGTGGTATTTACATGTTACAAAACTGTTTGGGGTATGGACGTGCAGTGATTTGATTTATGATGTTGTTTTAGGTAAAGATCAACTAATATTTGTGACTGCAGAGGACCACTCTACTCCAAGTACCGTTATTCTACCTGAAGACGATGATGAGTATGAAGGTCTCATTAAACCAACTGGGGAAATAAACTGGGATTGCCCATGCTTACAAGGGATGGCTGATGGGCCCTGCGGAGAGCAATTCAAAGCTGCCTTTTCGTGCTTCCATTACAGCGAAGCTGAAGTTAAAGGCTCAGACTGCGTTCCTCAGTTCAGAGATATGCAGGTGTGCTTCTCCAAATATCCAGAAGTCTATGGAAAGGATGACGACGAAAGTGCAGAGCAAGAAAATTGCGACRTAAAGGTTGGACATRAAGACGATATAGACTCTTTAGATAAAGATGTACCTGCAAATTCACAAGAAATCCAACTATCAACGTTTTCTGAAAATGCCAGCAACGATGAAAGTGTAAGCACTTCTCAAAAGTTAGAGAGCTGATTTCAGTGATGAGTTACATGGTAAAATCCATTGCATACAGCAAATTCAAATATAGTTGAATACCGAAGATAGTGTATTCCAAGACAAAAATGCATAGTTATTTGTTCTATCGCTGTTCACTCTGTATACTSAGGAAATTCAATGGAAAGTAATTGCCATATATCATTATGATGTCACAGTATGTTTTAATYAGGCAAAGATGCTSAAAACAGGGGCGACGGAGCAAWATTTGACTTCGGGGGGTACAATCATAGACTTACAGTGATGACATCACAAATATAGACAAAAAGAAATCTATTGGTAAATTTGAAATAWACACTTATGTTTTATGTACAACCCCCACATATTTTGTGTGGAGGCTGTACCCTCCTGGCCTCCCCGGCCCTGCCAAGCCCTGCAAAAGCAATAGAAATTTGGACCCATCTGTATTCTCTCCGAAGAACATCTTCCATGTATCGTGTTTTGATATATGTCATACATTTATTTGATATGCAGTCACTCCGATCCCCTCTGGTGGCAGTAATCCTTAGCATTAAAACTATGTAATTTTTGCTGTGACATCATAATGAAAGAGGGCAATTCAGTTAAAAATTGAATTTTTTTAATGCAGCTGATAAAGTGGAGTTTACTGGCAACAATGCATTGCAGTCTTCCATACTGCATTCAGTATTCAATATTAGAAATAGCTGTGTGTATGTGAAATAAAATAACATTTTTTTTTACTTTTTCTAATGTAGACTGATTCCACCAGTCTGTCAGATCGCTCTTTTTTTTCTGCTCCCGCTAGATTGAGTGACAAACCGGAGAATCAAGGARCGAATACTACGACTTATGGAATCAGTCTAGGACTAATGGTATGCACTATTGTCTGTACACAACTATATTATCACCAAATATAGAACACCTGACAAAAGAGAACAATTATAGCGAATTTTGGATTTTGGCTTAATTTGGCTAAGGGGTTTTCACAAAAATGTTCAATTTGAGGTATGTGTTTGGTCATTAAAAATCTCATAAAAAGGTAAATAAGAAACGTAKAGTATTCAATAGTTGACTATCTTGAAGCTTTCTTTAACACTTTTTATTTTTGTTTTTGGAATACACATTGGAGTATATTATTGTACAATTTATACTCATAAATGAATCCAATGGACTGTTTGGTCAAATACTAGATTTCTTGATTACTTCAAACTAGAACAAGATTTTSACAGAACCTCAAAATTTCTGAGTATTGACAAGGTTTTTGATATGCAAAGTTACAACAGGAATTTGTCTTGCATATAATCATATATTTTAAATGAAGTTTAGAAAATGAAGTTCAGAAACTCCCTTTAAGATCCAAGTGSAACAAATATCAAGAAATCTCTATTTTGCTGACTATCAAACTATGAAGATTGTACAATGATGCATGATGAAATGAGTAGGTCTATGAGCTTCGACAAGTTCCAATTAAAGGTAAAAATAAGTAGCTGTAAGGACTTGAAATCATGTCCAGTRCATATTTGGAGGACTTTTAACAACTTCRTAAACTCATTTTAGATTGCCTTTATTGTGTCTTTATCCAGGATKTCAAGTTGTCATTATAATAGTCCCTGTAGGTCCACTTCGGTTCTGTACTTTTTATGAGATAAATAAGACTCAAAACTCAAAACGTTGTGTAGTTTGTTAAATGCAGTATCATAGTAACAATTTTTAAAAKCTCTATATGCCCTGCCAAATCATATGCAATTGTAATTGTTCATATTTTAATATTCAAGTGTGAATGTAAAAGGTTTTATTAAAAGCAGACAAATATCTTGTATATTTATTTATGAAATATAAATTTCCTTCAAACTAAACCACTTTCAATGTATGTTGTTTCACCACATGACAGCCATCTTGCAATAGATTTAACTGAAATCCATCAGTATGCAAACTAAAACTGCAGTTTTAAAACTCTAAKCACTGTTTTGTGTTTTGGGTAAAATCTCTGAACTTAATCAAACTGCCTTTATACTCTCCCTAAAAACTAATTCAGCTCCAAACTGTGACAAATTAGCTTCCAGAATTCTGACGTATGCTTAGAGTTCAGTCTCAAAATCCATTCAGTGAAGTTCTGATGTTTATATTCATTTATATATATAGAACAAATTCATAAAGAAAATAACAAGTATCAACTTGTTGAAATTATTGAAATATAATACTTTTAAAAACCCATTGACAGCCCAAGTTTTTTCTTTTTTGCCTTAACAGGGGAAGATTTGTTTCCTTTAMTTGGACTTGATAGAAACCTTGTCACTGGTTCCATGTTTTCCATTGTCACATCATTTGTTTTCATGGATACAATATTGTCCACAGGCATTGTTTTAACAATGGCATTTGTTGTTGATGAGAGATTGGAGTTACTAGTAGGAAGCATTGTATCAGGTTTTTCTTCATTTCCAACTGTGGAAGCATAAGTGTTACTGGTGGACTTAGACCCAGTAGTTCCCATTGTACATTTAGTTGATGGCATGGATGATATATTGTTGTCCATAGTTGAAATGGCTTTGAGTGTTTGGTCAATTTCAAATGTACTATCATCTATATTGCTGGATTCCCCTTTTTGTTCAATTTCAGATATTACAACACTTAATTTAATTTCTCCTTTATCATCATTGTTGTTGTTGGTTTCATCCTGTGGTGTTTTATTAGTGAGTTCTATTGGCTGAGGTTCCTCAGATATCCAGTTGTATCGAAATCCTTGACTCACACTATTTTGAAACTTTTTTTCTTCAGTAAAAATATTCAAATCAAGAGAAGGTTCACCAAATGAGCAGCACTTGGAAGTTGTGACAGTGTTTTGGTTCTTTGCATTTTTTAATTGTCTTCCAGTYGTAACATCAATCCCACAACAAGGACATATTGTTCCAGTGGGGACTGAATTTATCTCTTTTTCTGGACAGTCAATATAATCCATGCACAGTGCACATGATGCATGTGGAGTTTTGAGAGAGATCATAGACAGAAACTCACTAATACAGTCTGTTKTAGATGCATTAATTTTTGGAAAAAAAATTTGCTTTCTTTTACTTGCATTTTCCATTTCAATTAAGTCTTTGATCCACTCTTTGCAAAAAGAACTGTCATTTGCACAAGGTGAGTTGGTCTTTGAATTCATGTGAAATTTCTGTTGTGTTGTCTTTGGGATAAGAGGCTGATAAAATAGATCACCTAGAGAAGACATTTGTAATACAGTGAAACCATTGTTTTGTTGAGGAACACATGTCAAACCAATCAGTGAGTGTTTGAGACGATCATCCACAATTGAGGACAATGGTAAGGCTGAAGGAGGGAGAAGAGATGGCCAGACATCATAGGAACACACCTGAAGTTGAGAATTATATCATATTCAAAGCCTTGCTATTCTAAAGGTCGTAATATTCTTTAGTAGTATAATTCTTGTGAATCCACAAATTAGTAAATCAATGTTAATTATATTATAATAGACTTGAGAATTTTCATTGAGCTTTCAGTGCAACCAGTACCACTATAATAAATCTGACCAAGCAGGTAGCAGTAAATCAATCCAGACAGTGATCTGATTATTCCTTGGCCACACTGTAACAACACATTGCTAAAGACATTTAACAGTTTTTTAACAATAATCCAGTTTCAAATTCTCTTGTGCAATCTTAGCCTCAATTAAGCATAAATTTTTATTTTCTTCTTTGTACACAGAGTGTTTGCATTACAATAGATTCAAAATCAATTTATAAAAACTATACTCTATTTCAATGATATAAYATATTGGTTGCATACCTTCCAAGGTGAACTGGTTGAAACTGGAGGTGTGACAATATGATTACCTATCAGTGTCAGGGTCTGTGACACTGTGGGTTTCCCACTAGAGTACTGGAAGCAATGTGTCTCTCGATGAAGTGATCCTGATACAATAATAATAGAATCATCACAATTTGGCATGACATCAGGTAGGACCTGAATAAAYTGGACAGGATCCTGAAGATGATGGTGCCACTTTAAAACAGGATGCTGTAGATAGCGATCATCCATGATGAGCAGTGATTGGTCAGTTGCTATAAAATAGTGATGAGTATTCAATGGATGACGTTGCACTGCTGAAATACATTCATGGAGGTCCACTTGCTTTGAGTTGATCGAGAAGAAACTTTGTGGGGCTCTATTAGTCTGATATTTAAACAAAATTTGATTCCATATTACTCAATGCAAACAACTGGGCTTTTAAGCAACAAGTGTCCCAGACAAAATAGTCCAAAAGGTATTTGATAATATGACGATCAAAGGATACTACACCTTTTGCTGTTCATTTGCGCAAAAAATGCATTCATTTACGTCAGGARTAAAAACATTAACGCCAACAGGCAGGCAATAGCATGATCCAAGTTTCAATAGTGCTAGGAAACATTGAATTAGACTATTTACATATGAAGTGACATTCAATACCATCCTCAAACAATGCACTTTTGAACAATCAAATATAAAGAAAGCACTTTTAATCAAGCGGAATGGAAGTTCATTAGTACCAAAATACAATCAAATGCATCGGTTGACAATCAATAGGGCATTTAAGACGTTCGATAGTAAAATTTTCATATATAAGCACAATCAATAGCGCCTTTATACAATCATTCGTTCGCTATGAACAATCAATCTTAACAAACGACAAACATTTGCGTAAGAACAACAATCAATTACAGGAAAACAAATTTCAAATTCACTTTATTATTTTCTTGATATTGACAACTATCATTCTATATGTCCCGTTATTTATGCATCTTTTGTTAGAAGATATGTTTACATAAGTCGATCGGTAAAACTTGCTATACTATATTATTTTCTTGATATTTAACACTATTCTTCTATATTTTAATCATTTAACATATTGGTTTACTTTATTCTTTTCTTAATATCTATTGATTGCCTATCCTTCTATATGTTCATTATTTATGCATCTTGGAAAGTATGTCTGCATGAACTGATACCACTGTCCACATTTAGCCACAGTGATGCTGCTGATATTTCTTTCAAGCGCTCGTAATAGCAATTGGCTGCGCATGTTTCCCATGCAGTGCAATGCCTTGTCTTCTTGCTTCGGCTCTATTGTTCATTTCTTCCTGTATCTGCGGGCGACTTATGTCCGCTTTAATTGCTGCCTTCAAGGCACTTATTGCCTGCTCCACGATATTCAAGAAAGGACTGTATGGTAGCAACTTCTTTAGTTCGGTGTTGGGACCTGGATTCACAGGATTTCTGTGGGCTGGTGCGCCGTCGTAAATGAAAATTACGTGCTCGTCAGGGTCGAGATTTAGCCTGGTCTGTGCAAGAAAATCATTGAATCTTTGGCCATTCATTCCCCCGAGAACTGCANAGTCCAGTTGTTGGGGAAATGGCTAGTGCCACGGTCACATTTCTCCCTCGTTGACCACACACTTGTCGGTAAGCTCTGTCTCCAGTCCTAGCTCGTCCTTGACTTCTCGCTGTCCAAATATTGTAGCCACACTCATCTACAAAAACAGGGTGGTTCACTACTGCATGACGCATAAACCAGTGGGCGTAGTCAACTCTCTTCTGAAGTACGTCGGGCCGGTTTCGTTCGGCAGGGAGTGGTCTGGCAAGTTTTACCGATCGACTTATGTAAACATATCTTCTAACAAAAGATGCATAAATAACGGGACATATAGAATGATAGTTGTAAATATCAAGAAAATAATAAAGTGAATTTGAAATTTGCTTTCCTGTAATTGATTGTTGTTCTTACGCAAATGTTTGTCGTTTGTTAAGATTGATTGTTCATTGCGAACGAATGATTGTAGAAAGGCGCTATTGATTATGCTTATACATGGAAATTTTACTATTGAATGTCTTAAATGCTCGCATGATTGTCAATCRATGCATTTGATTGTATTTTGGTACTAATGAACTTCCATTCCGCTTGATTAAAAGTRCTTTCTTTATATTTGATTGTTCAAAGGTGCAATTGTTTGTTTGAGGATGGTATTGAATGTCATTTCATATGTAAATAGTCTAATTGAATGTTTCCTAGCACTATTGAAACTTGGATCATGCTATTGCCTGCCTGTTGGCGTTAATGTTTTTACTCCTGACGTAAATGAATGCATTTTTTGCGCAAATGAACAGCAAAAGGTGTACTCAGTGAAAGTCTCAAATTACACCTGATATCAAAAACACCTTGACACCCAGGACCATTCATCATGAACCAGGAATGGAGCTCCCTAATATAAAGGGTGGGGGTCCTCATCGGAAATTCTGAAAATGACCCCAAAAAGGGACCTGTACTGTGAGATGATGGGCGTGGCAGTGCTGAAATTTCACCCCTAAGAGGGACCAATCAATAACATGTCATTTTGTTTTGTTTTGGTTTCCCGAGTTTACTGTGTTTTTGCAGCAGCATCAAATCAGCTCCATTAAGATCAATCATGTAATTAGCAGTTGTGGTTGTTGTTGATCTTAAAATGATGGCTTAGGTCTTGTCGTATACCCTAAGCGGGACCAAAACACTGATTTCAAACCCTAAAAGAGACGACGGGAACCCCCACCCTTTTTTATTAGGGATTACCTACCCACCCCCCATTTTAGGGTTAACAAATATAGAGATGGGAATCATGACATAAGTGGATAAAAGAAGAAATCAAATAAGAATTGGACTTATTCTAAAAGCAACTAAATCAGCATTCACTAGGAAGAAATTTCATTTTKCTTTTTCCTTGAGTTAGCCACCCCCTGATTCCACAACTAAGCCTAGAGTAATAGGCAAAAGACTTGTATACATTTACCCTTATATCCATGATATCAGCTTCTACTGTGTTGGTAATCAAAATACATCTTGGATGTCCACCATAAACACTTTGGTACCAAGGCCATCTTTTATCAGGGGCTAGAGATGGTGTATCTAACGTGTCTACTCTGTTTCCACATTTCCATATATGTACTTGTCCTTTATTAGTTACAACCACAGCATCCCCATGTATATATGGACTTACAGATAGATGAACAAGCTCATCTTCACACTGAAAGTTGTCCATTGCCTTCAGAGTTATTTGCTGCAATGAATATTAATAACAAATAAGCTAGTACAATGCAAATAATCACAAAGCAATGACTGGCCAGAATTATCTTAGAATACATAATCAAGAAATGATAGTAGCTCACACACAACAAAGAAGGATATAAAAGAGAGCAGTGGTAAATAAAAGTATACAACAATGTCGCAASATTATTCTTTTTTCAGGATTGTTAACTAACCTTAGAATATTTTGTKKTCAGGCAAAAAWCATCAAAATGATTATTTATCCACTCAACTTTGTTCCAGGGTTTGAAATCAGTGTTTTGGTCCCGCTTAGGGTTATAATGATGAGAATTCCCACCAAGTTTCGCGGTCACTTTTAGGGTGTACGCATCCTCTGGAACCCAGAAGTTATCTTCTGTCGTTCGTTCCTCACTCCCAGAAAATTTTTTTGATTTTTTCTGGGAGTGAGGAACGAACGACAGAAGATTACCCCTGGGTTCCCGAGGATTGGGTGTATGACGACCCTAAGCCGTCATTAAATGACAGCATCATCATAAACACAATACGAGCCAACGGCGTTTGATGCTTGTGTAAAACACAAGTCATATAAAATTAGAAAACCAAAACAAATTGACCTGTTTAATGATTGGTCCCTCTTAGGGGTGGAATTTCAGCACTGTCATGCGCATCATCTCACAACACAGGTCCCCTTTAGGGGCCATTTTCAGAATTTCYGACAAGGACCCCTGCCCTTTTTTATTAAGGAGGACTTTACCTATTTTTTTACGATTCAATGATGCCAACTATAATTGTAAATAAGATGACATATGGAGAGAAATAAATTTGTTAAATTTACARCTGCGTTCTTGGGCAACTATTTCCTTTTCAGAAAACCCAATTTCAGTGGGAAACAGCATAATGCCATCAATTTAACTACCCTATTGTTTTTTATATACCTCATTAGAATCGTCTTGAATGCCTAAAAATCTACAGCTGTATTGTGTACGTGTGGCAGCAACAACACTACCCTGCACAGAAGCAGCATCAATCTGCCTGATAGCGCCATCAATAACAATGTCATCGCAGGGATTCACCAAAGAGGGCTTTGGTATCCATTCACCATCTTTTATTTCAAAAGTCAATACATTCAGGTTTAGTGTTTCTAAGTTGAGTCCACTTGGATAAAATAGCATATTATTGGATGATAGGTTGCCTGGAAACCTACAGTATGCTAATAYGTTCCCTTGAAACAGGTCGAAGTGTAGCAATTCGTGTTTMTGTTGATTAATGCTTTCATTAACTAATTCAAAGAGTAAATCAGGATGGATGTCAAGTAATCCTGATCTCAGTCCTTTAGGCGTGCGCACTTGGTCCTCCTTATTAATTTTTATGTCAGTATGGCTATGATATAATGGATTTGTCACAAGTGATTTTGCAAATCGTTGAAACTCGCATTTAGAAATRCCAAGAGGTTGATGAAAATGTTCCYGCAGTTCCTGACTCTTAGTTGCACCAAAGGAGCCGATATTCCACGGTTCACAGTCTAGGAGTTCATTCACTGTCTGTCTTCCTACTGGAAATGTGATATCAGGATACTCTCTATAAAAATCCCCAATTTGTTCAATGATAGTCATTCTAAAGTCAGTTATTGGCCTTAAACGATAATATCGTGCGTTAGGTAGGCTCCTAGTTGGGAAAACTGTGCTTGATGGACGGAATAAAGGCAGAGTAGCATGAAGACCAACAAACGTGTCACTTGAACAATAATAATGATAATGTTTTGACCTCGTGTAAATCGACCGGTCGTCCTTATTTATGTCTAAATCATATGAAGATGAGCTTCCATAATCTATGAAACTYTGCTGTTGGGATCCGTCTGGATAAAATGCGTAATTGAACATAGGGAATGCTTCCTGCTGAATTTCCTCTTGTATTTCCGCCATTTTGAATATCCAATTTAGGACAGGAAGCCCAAATATTACCCTTCAATGCAAAAATTAAAGTAATAAGTTAATTATGTGCTTATGTTTGGTAAACAAATATCTTTTTTGCGTACAAATTAGTCATGTATATCGTTTATTAAGGGGAAAATCACGGCGAAATAAACTTTGGCTTGGTCTTCCTGTGTGCGCCACAGGCTTCCCAGGTCGTCACTTGTTTCCATCTCTCAAAATGACCTGACGTCACATGACTTCGGGTAAATATCTTCGGGTGACTCTTCGGATTTCCGAGAGTAGTTAATTGTTGTGACTGTTGAGATTTATCGAAATTCTTTACTTTTAAATTGAATGAGTTGTAGAAATGATAAGGTAGGCTAATATCAATAATTAGGTAGTTTTCGAATTGAATTTCGAGAACGGAGTCACGGTTTTGACCACAGAATCTATAGTTTTATTAAACATAAACTACAACACTTTTGTCTACGATTTATGACTGCTTTCCTTGCTTGAGTACTTATCTACTCATCGTAGCAGTTAAACTAGCAAGTAAAGAAACGAAAAATCAAACGCGGATGAACGTCACTTTGAAGGATGGAAAGTACACCGAAGCTGGAACAAATATCCATCTTCCAAACTGACATTGACGCTCGAGAACCGGAAGTCGGTGATACATTTCCGAACCTTCCTCGAACCTTCTTTGAAGTGTCGTATTACGTCGGGAAAGTGTTGGAGCTCATAATGTATTAAGGAAAAAAGGTGAGTGTTCTATTCTTCCTTTTGCTACTAATGTATTTGATATTTGCATAGAGTGTGAACAATTAAATAAGTTATGTACTGTTTGCAACACCAGTTTGTTGAAAAGTGCATTCACTAAATCAATGAAAGATCAGAACAAGTTGATTATTAATTGACAATAATGGAAAACAAATGAATTCATGAAGGAACTAGAATACTTTCATTGTTTTGTGGATTTTTAAATGAGTTTACAAAGGATAGCTTAATTAATTACAAACAATTTCCTGTTTACTGTTTGGTAAGCATTTTCCATGAAAATATTGCCCACACTTCATGCAGCATTGCATGTTGAAGGTATCTTTGCTGTTATGGCATTTCTTGCATTCATCTTGATTCCATTGCCTACAAATGTCAAAGAAATTGTTTTTTTTTATGTAGAGATCATTCTTTTCCTTGGAATTCAAAAAATGCTTAAAAGAACATCATTGAAAATTAAAATAATTGCAAATTATTATTATTTTATTGATAAGCTGCCTTCCAATGGGCTAATTTGTATTAGCCNCCTCATCTATTTTTTCTCGATTCGTGATTGGTTGAAAATGACGCGAGCGCGCATTGTTTTCAAATCGGTTTTTCAAGTCGCCAGCGCGCGCTCGCCTTGTTAGTCAATGTTTTCACACATTTGTGTTTTTAAAAAGGTGTCAATGCCGTTCCTAAACTAAGTTGTGTGCTAAACCTTCTTCTTTTTTATCATTTTAATGCTCTAAAAGCAGAAAACAAAATTGACCTCAGTCGATTCCTCCAGAGTCTTTCCGGCGTCAGCATACCGCTGACTTTAGCCGTGAAGACTCTGGGCTCGAGATTGCACGAAAAACTATAAGCTTATGTCCCGGGGGGGTGGGTACTCGACGGCTTATGGTACCACAGGTAGCCCAAGCACTGGGCTTGACAGTGAAAAACGAAAAGTTCAATAAAAGTGGTAAAACTGAATACAATTATTTCAAACTACAACATAGTGTTCTCCTTATTTTTCTCAACACCCCTGTGAAGTTTCAGCTCAATATGATAAACTTTCCCCTACTTATGAGTGATATAAGAAAAGGCATTTTGAATAGCCAATCAAAAAGCGGCTTAGTTCTTAGTTCTGGCCAACGCCAGGGTCATCGACGACCGCCATCTTGAAAAGGAGTCGGCCGAGATGGCACTGGGGACGAGGTTGGTTTGGTTGGTAACTCCTCAGAGACTAGGAGGCCAATCTCGTACCCAGAGCCCGCACTTTTGCCATCCAGCGGATAACAACGTGAGAGACTCTGGAGGAATGCGTTATTTCTCGATTCGTGATTGGCTGAAAATGACGCGAGCGCGCATTGTTTTCAAGTCGGTTTTTCAAGTCGCCAGCGCGCGCTCGCCTGTTTAGTTAAAAATATCATACTTTTATCGCATAAAAACACCTTTTTTCACAAATTTTGGTTTAAAAAAAGGTGTAACTACCGTTCCTAAACTAAGTTGTGTGCTAAGCCTCCTTCTTTTTTGTCATTTTGATGCTCTAAAGTGCCAAAAACAAAACTGACCTAATTTGCATAATTTGCGCCGGTGACTAGTCAGCATACCGCTGACTTTAGCCGTGAAGACTCTGGGCTCGAGATTGCTGGGAGGCCTGTGTGTGCGCATGGCTGTTGGTGCTCACTGATGCTTCTGTGTATCGTTCACCTATCGTATCTKAAAGTTTTTTGAAGTTTTCCCACAAAATCTTTAACCATGACGGTATGTATCTTATTTGTTAGTTTTTGGACAAGTTCCTATGTAAAAGYGTGTTAATTCAAGTCTTCCAATCAATGTTTTAGGCGACGCTGACAGTCGTTCATGTATTACGAACGCTGCACGTGTTGTTAGTCGTTCTGTATGGTTTAATTTCTTTGGTAGATTTGCTTTCTTTGGAATGTTGCTACTATATTTCTCCGTTAAATATTAGAGGATCTAAAGTCCTAACAAATGATTTTTCCTTATTGATAAAACAACAAGCTTAATTAATGGCAAATCATGAAAAAGTTCATCRTGAGCTGTATTTCTTAGTTTTGAATTTTGGCAAATCAGTTGTTAGCTAATTATGTCTTACATTTGCTTTTTATGTCTCCTTTCTTTCTTAAGGGGCTTGATATTATATTCTTTTTGTTTTACAGTCTATGCCCCTCAACCCCAAGCCATTTCTAAATAGTTTGACAGGAAAGCCAGTGATGGTTAAGCTAAAATGGGGCATGGAATATAAAGGCTATCTAGTATCTGTAGACGGTTATATGAACCTTCAAGTAAGTACACAATGATATAAAACGTTTCTAAAATATAAAATTACAGAGAATAGTGGTCGAGATTCAGTACAAACAATATGCATAGATGCATGTACCAAATCAAGACCACGATGCAATGCATTGTTCATGTATGTGCCATTGGAAACTTATCAGGGGATTAAAGTCGACCTAAGGTTTTCTGATACATAAAGACAAGAAATCTGTAAATATTCATCAGAAATCCATTAGTATGGACATTATGAAATGAGACAAATCAAGTAAAATGTCATTTTATGAACCAAGTTTAACTTTACATGTAGATAAAAAACGAGATTTTCGATASCAATAAGAGATAAGGGTAATACACAAGTTTATAACATGTTCATCAGTWAAGTGAGGGCATGTAAAACAAATGGTATTCAAGATTAAGTTCATCATAAACTTGATATTAAATAATTTATAATGTAGAACCTTTGGAAACATCCTGTTCTTTTGTTCACTGAAAAAAAACCTTTTTTAAACCATATAAACCATTCTACTGATTGATTTTGGTATCAACTAGTGATAACAACTCCAATTATTGTACCTTGCAAATTATTGGAAAAAAATATTAATATGTTTTGATTTTCAGTTAGCAAATACTGAAGAATTTATTGATGGAGCACTAGCAGGAAACCTTGGTGAAGTACTTATCAGGTACGTTCAAGACAGCATTGATTATGTTAAAGAGCATATGACAAGAAAACAGTTTTTTGTCAGTCAAGAGTATTTTTCAAAAACTCTRAATTTCAAATTTGAGAGAATTCTGAAAAAAAATTGCTAAGTTACAATGATCCTCCGAATTTTCACTTCAAATTTCGTCCTCTCCGCCGCGCAGCCAAACTCTTGTCACATGACCCTTGTGATGTCATTTTGTTGGCTCAGACACCAAGATARTGAATAACGTAAGAACTAAAACAAGAAAAAAATGAAATGTAAACAAATACATAGAGCAGAAGGTTGCAGAAACATCAAGAAATGGACAAATACTAGCTAAACCTCTGGTATTACAGACCTGAAAATAAGAACCTTATTTTTTGAAAGTCTGGTCAAAAAGGTTCTTGTTTTAAGGGGTAGTTGCTAGTAATTTTGGCAAAGCAGGTTCTACAGTACCGGCTGGAATCACATGTACCTTGTTCGAGAAATTTAAGCGAGCAGTTCGCAAATCGCGAACATGTTTTGTTCGCACTTTGATCACGAAATGTTCTCACCTCGTTCGCAAACTGTTCTCACCTCGTTCACGAACTGTTTGCGAACTGCTAGCAAAGAGAAGTGCTCGTGAACAAAATATTCAAACACAAGCAAGCAGTATGTGCATGGATTTAAGGCAAGAGTATCCATTTGTCAAACATGGGTTCGAGTTTAAGTTCGATTAGCAACGAAACCTGTTGCAAAGTCAAGTTTTCAAAAGTAACCTTACCATTCGATTGCAAATGAAAAGTAAAAAGACTACAAAACACTATGCAATCGCCAAAACAGTCGTTTATTGAGTCCTTTATTGGATATATTGAGATTTATAAATTTTTTGATATATAACGCGCGTTCTGATTGGCTGACGAACATGTTTATATCAGAGGACAGAGACACAGCTTACCGGCAAAATTTTCTTTTCGCAGCCAAGTCAACTCAACTTCGACTAATTCTTAAGTATAATTTAAAACACGAGAGAGAGTGTTTTAAATGGCTTAAAAACTCCAACTAATTTGAAACTCAAATCCATTAAAATTCTTGGAGAAATTGCCGTACAAATATGTTCAGAGATAAATGGGGCAAACTGATCATGCGCGAATCACTTTACAAAGCACTCTTGTCATCCCACATTGAATACGCATAAAGTAAAATAGAA